GGTCCACTGTATTAGCCTTGTACATAACAGTAAGGCTACCCACATCCCTCCTGTGTTGAAGGCTCTGCTGAAATGACAGATCTATCCAGGATGGGTCCAGGCGAGAGATGAGACGTCTTGCTCTGTTGTCTACTCTGTCAAGCAGTCGCAGATGAGAGGGGGGCAGGCAAACCAAGAAAGTGGAGCATACTCAAGGTGTGAGCGTACTTGTGCCTCATACAGAATCTTGCAACCCCTACTGTCAAGCAGATGCGAGATATGGCAAAGTGCTGTAAGCTTCCTGGCTGCCTTGTTTGCAAGATTTACAACATGGTTCTTCATGGTTAGTTTGGAGTCAAATTTCACCCCAAGGATACCAACTTCTCCAGCTGCCAAACACCTCCCATTCATCCTTACTACTGCACTAGCATTACCATCATGGTGCCTAGAGACGATCATCATTTGCGTTTTCTCAGGTGCAAATGTTACTTGCCATCTATTTCCCCAAGTTGATATAGCTCTTAGCTGGTGATTGATGTAGCTTAGAGCAGCTGGCATTTCTTCTCTTGGATAAGTGAATGTCAGTGTACAGTCGTCTGCATGTGCATGTGATTCTGGGATGAGATGAAGAAGGTCGTTGAAGTAGACATTCCATAACAATGGTCCAGCACACTTCCTTGGGAACACTTGCCCCAATAGGATGTCTTGCTGATTCCGTTCCATTGAGAACTACACTTAGAGATCTACCAATGCCTTGAACATATATTAGACCATATATTAGACCCACCAGCTGGTGAATATTAGACGTGTGAGGTCATTTGCTTATTCTTGAACATTAGCAAAAATTTAACATTTCCACTACTTCGAGCTCAGTTTCAAGCCATTTTCAGTACTAAAACCAATCAAAATCATCTCTATTTCTGTAATATATCTTCCATTCTATCAAAAGGGATCAAGAAATCGCAAATACAACTATAAAAAACATATGAAAACACACTGCAAAGTCACTGTTTTAATCGAAAATTGCGGTCTTAGTTTTGTTTCCTCTCATTATGCACTGTCTGCTGCAGGATTTGTTTTATGTGGTGCACACATACAACATAGATGTATTCTCTCATATCTAGGCGCTAATTTACCGTTCACAGCTTATCAGAGTGAGCTGAGCTCATGGCGTAGATCTACGGTTTGGACCCTCAGTGTAAAGCCATAGATCTACGGCACAGACCCTGAAAGGGTTAAGTGAATGCGACTGACCTGATTAAGTCAAGGCATTGGCTTAAGCTGGTGGGAGAATTGGACCTGCCTCGCATGGGCCAGTAGGCCTGCTGCAGTGTTCCTTCTTTCTTATGTTCATATTCAGTGACAGTTGCTATTTATTTCCTTTTTATTCAGCATACAGTGGGCCCTTGACCAACAGTGGCATTGACTAATGATTAAATTGGGTAACGATGCATTTTAACATAAAAATATTGGCTCAACCAATGATGAAAAACTCGGGTAAAAACTTTCGTCCCGAACGCGTCCGCCTGTCCATCCAGCCTGAGTATGCCTCAGCTGCCCTGCCTTCAGCTAGTGTGCCATTGTTTACAAGCCATTCCGGATGCTTCCACATGTACCTGCGATATATTTTGTATTATTCCAGTGTTCTTAGTGCTTGTAACTGCTAAATAAGCCACCATGGGCCCCAAGAAAGCTTCTAGTGCCAACCCTGTGGTAAAAAGGGTGAGAATTACTATGGAATTGAAGAAAGAGATAATCACAAAGTATGGAAGTGGAGTGCGTGCCTCCGAGCTGGCCAGGTTGTATAACAAACCCCAATCAACCATCGCTACTATCTTGGCCAACAGAAAGGCAATCAAGGAAGCTGTTGTTGCGAAAGGTGCAAGTATGTTTTCAAAACAGAGATTGCAAATACTTGAAGATGTGGAGAGACTGTTGTTGGTGTGGATAAAGGAAAAACAATTATCAGGAGATAGTGTTTCTCAGTCAATAACATGTGAAAAGGCAAAGCAGTTGCATGACAATTTAATTAAAAAAATGCCATGAACTAGTGGTGATGTTAGTGAATTTAAGGCCAGTAAAGGTTGATTTAGGAGATTTAAGAATCATAGTGGCAGACACAGTGTGATAAGGCATGGTGAGGCTGCCAGTTGTGACCAAAAAAGTGGCTGAAAAATATGTGCAGGAATTCAAGGAATACAAAGACTGAAAAATTAAAACCCCAACAAGTGTTTAATTGTGACAAAACAGGCCTGTTTTGGAAGAAAAGGTCAAACAGGACCTACATTACACAGGAGGAAAAAGCACTGCCAGGACACAGCCTATGAAAGACTGGCTAACTCTAATGTTTTGTAGTAATGCTAGTGGGGATTGCAAAGTGAAGCCTCTACTCGTATATCACTCTGAGACTCCCAGAGTGCTCAAGAAAAACAGTGTTGTCAAGGCTAATTTGTATGTGATGTGGAGGGAAAACAGTAAGGCATGGGTCACTAGGAACATTTTCTATGATTGGTTCTACCATGTGTTTGACCCCACTGTGAAAATTACCCCCAGGAAAATAATTGGACCTCAAGTGCCTCCTGGTATTCGACAGTGCTCCTGCTCATCCTTCAGAGTTGCCAGAGCGAATTGTGGGGGAGTTGAGTTTTATAAAAGTGAAATTTTTGCCTCCTAATACCACTCCTCTCCTCCAACCCATGGACCAGCAGGTCATTTCAAATTTCAAAAAACTGTACACCAAATCAGTGTTTCAAAAGAGTTTTGAAGTGACCTCAGACACTGATTTGACCCTAAGAGAGTTTTGAGAAGATCACTTTGGTATCCTCAGTTGCTTTAAACCTTATAAGTAAGGCTTGTGAGGGAGTGACTAACAGGACCTTGAACTCTGCTTGGAGGAAACTGTGGCCACAATGTGTACAAGAGAAGGATTTTGAAGGGTTTGGGGCTAACCCTCAGGAGCCTATGCCAGTTGTGTAATCTATTGTGTCATTGGGGAAGTCCATGGGGTTGGGGGTGAGTGGGGAGGATGTGGAAGAGTTGGTGGAGGACAACGATGAAGAACTAATCACTGATGAGCTGCAAGAGCATCTGCAACAGCAAGAGACCACAACTGAGGAAATTGCTTCAGAGGAGGGAAGAGAGAGATGGAGGAGGTTGCCTTCTTCAACGATTAAGGACATTTGTTCATTGTGGACAAAGGTGCAAGCCTTTATGGAAGAACATCACCCTGACACTGCTATTGCAAGCCATGCTGGTGACTTTTACAATGACAATGTTGTAGCCCATTATAGGAAAATCTTAAAGTAACGCCAGGTACAGAGGTCTATGGACAGATTTTTAGTGCGACAGAGGTCCAGTGACTGTCAAGTTGTTCCCAGTGGCATTAACCCTTTCAGGGTCCAGGGGCCAAATTTCAGAGTGTGCACCAGTGTCCAAGAATTTTCAAAAAATAATTTTGTTATTTTTTCTTATGAAATGGTAGAGAATCTTTTTCTGAAGGTAATAAAACAAAAAGTACAAAATTTGATGGAAAATTTATGAAATTATGCTCTCGGGAATTTTCATGTGTCAGCGATATATACGCATCGGCGATTTTGCCGATTTTGACTCCCATTTTAGGTCAATTACCTTATTCCAGTCGACCAAATTCTTAGCTATTTCACTAGTACTACTTCTATTCTATCGATTGAGCAGAAGAAATCACCAACTCAACTGTTTCAACTACAAAATTAAGTGATTGGAAATTGGTAATTTGGCCAATTTAGTGCAAAGTTCAAAATATTCAAAATAGGGTCCAGAATAAACAATGCAGACATTCCTGGCACTAAACCAACATTTCCTCTGTTCATTAGTTATGTTTTCAATTTTACAAATGAATTCCAATTTGATTTTTAATTCACATAATGAATTTTTATTCAAACCAAAAAATAGAAGATTTATTGTCATGCAATATTGTAATAATTGTATAAATAATATCAGTACGATTGTGAACATATATTAGACCCACCAGCTGGCGTGTATTAGACGTGTGAGGTCATTTGTTACTCTTGAACATCCGCAAAAAATTAAAATTTTCGCTACTTTGAACTCGGTTTCAAGCCATTTTCAGTACGAAAACCAATCAAACTCATCTCAATTTTTGTTATATATCTTCCATTCTATTAAATGAGACCAAGAAATCACAAATACAACTATAAAAAGCATACGAGAACACACTGCAAAGTTGCTGTTTTAATAAAAAATTACGGTCTAAGTTTTTTTCTCTCATTATGCACTGTGTGCTGCAGGATTTGTTTTATGTGGTGCACATATACCACATAGATGTATTCTCTCATATCTAGGCCCAAATTTACTGCTCACAGCTTATCAGAGTGAGCTGAGCTCATGGCGTAGATCTACGGTTTGGACCCTCAATGTGAAGCCGTAGTTCTACGGCACGGACCCTGAAAGGGTTAAAATAAGAAGAGAAGTAACCCCAGAAAAGGACTTGGTACCTAAAGTCCTTATGGTAGGGGATTCCCCTTCCAAACAATAATACACCACCATCATCATCTCTCCTCCCATCTCATCACTCATCACTACATCTTTAATAAAGGTAAGCATCATTTATTCTTCATGTAGGATTTATTGTGCATGTATCATTGTTTTCTGTGTAGGAAAATGTATATTTCATGTGAAAAAAAAATTTCATACTTTTGGAACAGATTAATTGGATTTCCATTATTTCTTATGGGGAAAATTAATTCGGCTAACGATAAATTTGGCTAAAGAGAAGCTCTCTGGAACGGATTAAAATCATTGGTCGAGGGTCCACTGTATATTCATGTTCAACTTGCGGTATTTTCGACATATGAAGAGTTTGCCAGAATGTAACCTTATAACCTTATCATAAGTCTAGGCACACTGTTTTTGTTATTCTTATGTGCACATACAGATGCTCTTATCATTGTTCATGTGTACATTATGAACATTTTTCGTTATATTCCTTAAACCATAACTCATACAAGTATAATGATCATCAGGAACAACCTGGGTCCAGGAGATAGTGTACATGTTGACGCACAACTTCCAAAAGAGTGACGAAACTTCGGAGGTTTTAGAAACTAGGTTTCCCTACTTGGAGTATCCGTATCCTGGGATAAGGTGGCTATCCGGCCAGGTGGGAGCTCGCTACATCAAGACTCACCTACCCTACCATCTACTACCATCCTCCTTTGATGACAGCAATGCTAAGGTGAGAGTAACAACTGTCAAGGTGAGGTTATTGAAAATCAAGGTGAGGTTATTGACTGTGAAGGTGAGATCAACAAATGTCAAGGTAAGCTCAACAACTCTCAAGGTCATATCAGCAACTATCAAGGTCAGATCAACAACTGTTGTGGAAAAACCCAAGTTTTTCATTTAAGTGTAGGAGACATTTGTGCAGGATGGGTGAGAGGAGGCATGCAAACCTAAACTCACCTTGACAGTCAGTTGGTGATGTACTGTGATGTTGACAAGCCTCTGTCTTAAACCTTGATTGTAAGGTTAATTAATCATAAGCCATTAGTAAGCTAGAACCCAGTTTAAGATTGTAGTTTACACTATTAAGCTAGGCTAGGAATGTAAGTGTAAGTAGCTTAAGTACCGACTTTGTTGTTCTCAATAGGCCTAGAACTTGAGATAATTGCCAAGCCCCATAGGAAGCTTGGAGGCATAATTTCTATTATGAAGAGAACATAAAATTATTCTGGTATTAATTCATGACACTTAAGGTACCAGTATGAGTATTACTGACTCATTAATGGTACTCAGGAGGTATAGACATCTGGAAGGTTTGGTGACAAAGAATTACTTTTTCCAACTTCACAACCTCAGGTGTTAGGATTTGCATAAATCTGTATTGCACAGGTATTTTTATTGGGTTATATTGTGAGTCTAGACAGCAGAGTTGAGTCTTCTAGACCTCACCCAGAGTATTCAACCAGTTTTATCCTGGTGAGTAATAGCTTTGTTTGAGATGGGGTAATTTCCATATACAGGTCTCCCTCAACATTCGCGTTTTCAACTTTTGCGGGCTTCACACATTCGCGAGTTACCAACCGCCAAATTCCCAGCGTCCAAATTCCAAGCCACCAAATCATATTTAAGTTTCCCGCCACCTGCGAGTCCCTACTACTCTCCCTCCGACCCCTGCAACTGGCAGCCTGCCCTCCCACCAGTGTGGTGAGTGTTTTGTTTGTTCATTATTTGCTATTAAACTACAGTATAAATAATGTAAACCCATTCATGACTGCATATTGGAATGGCTATTCGGACAGGTTTTGGACGGTGACATCATGTGTTTACTCTTGAGCACAGCAAAGAATCAAACATTTCTGCTACTCCTAATAATAACAATAGTAATAATAATAATAATAAATACGATAGAATTGAAGAAGGAAATTGTACAAAAACATGAGGGAGTGGTTGACACATCGTCAGTATGGCTTTGTTTATGCTGGAGTGAGCATTAGTCTCCGTGCTCTTCCAAACATTTCACAATAATTCATTGTGTTTGGTGCTTGTAGATTGAGTGCAACTGGAGTGGTAGAGGCAGTGCTTGAGGAAGCGGTTGAGGCAGTGGGTGAGGCAGTGGTTGAGGCAGTGGGTGAGGCAGTGGGTGAGGCAGTGGTTGAGGCAATGGTAGAGGCAGTGATTGAGGCAGTGGGTGAGGGAGTGGGTGAGGCAATGGTAGAGGCAGTGGGTGAGGCAGTGGGTGAGGCAGTAGGTGAGGCAGTGGTAGAGGCAGGGGTAGAGGCAGTGGGTGAGGCAGGGGTTGAGGCAGTGGTTGAGGCAGTGGGTGAGGCAGCGTTGAGTCAGTGGTATTTAATAACATACATGTTGTTATTATTAATAATAATAATAATGCAGGGTTATTAATAATATGCACTATTATTTCTAACATATATGTTAATTAAATACCACTGCCTCACTCACTGCCTCACCCACTGCCTCAGCCGTTGCCTCAACTGCTGCCTCAACCGCTGCCTCAACCGCTGCCTCACCCACTGCCTCAACCGCTGCCTCTAGCATTGCCTCATCCGCTGCCTCACCCACTGCCTCACCCGCTGCCTCAACCGCTGCCTCACCCACTGCCTCAACTGCTGCCTCAACTGCTGCCTCTACCATTGCCTCAACCGCTTCCTCACCCACTGCCTCACCCACTGCCTCAACTGCTGCCTCACCCACTGAATCACCACTGCCTCAACACTGCCTCTACCATTGCCTCACCCACTGCCTCAACCACTGCCTCTACCATTGCCTCTACCATTGCCTCAACCGCTCCCTCACCCACTGCCTCAAACCGCTTCCTCAAGCATTTGCTTCTCCCAAACTCCAGTTGCACTCAATCTAAAAAGTACCAAACACAGTGAATTATTGTGAAATGTTTGGAAGAGTACAGAGACTAATGCTCACTCCAGCATAAACAAAGCCACACTGACGATGTGTCAACCATTCCCTTGTATTTTTGTACAATTTCCTTCTTCGATTCTATCGTATTTATTATTATTATTATTATTATTATTATTATTATTATTATTATTATTATTATTATTACTATTGTTATTATTAGCAGTAGCAGAAATGTTTGATTCTTTGCTGTACTCAAGAGTAAATACATGTAACCTTCCAATACCTGTCCGAATAGCCATTCTAATATGCAGTCATGAATGGGTTTACATTATTATACTGTAGTTTAATAGCAAATAATGAACAAACAAAACATTCACCACACTGGTGGGGGGGGCTGGCTGCCAGCTGCGGGGGTCGGAGGGAGGGTAGTAGGGACTCGCAGTGGTTGAGGAAGTGGTGGAGGCATTGGTGGAGGCAGCGGTATTTAATAACATACATGTTATTAAAGCATAAACATGTATGTATTTAGTACAGTTTATGACATTTTCATGTATTTTATGATTGTTCATGATTCAACAAGCTTTTCGTAGTTCTCGGCAATCGTAAATTTCGCCAATCATAGGAGTATTTTCATATAAACATGGACTCGCTTTTCATAGGTTGAGTCGCGAATAGTAGTTCGTCCGGGACGCGTACGCACGGTGTGAGCCGGGGCGGCCTCCCTACCCAGCCAGTCTGGCATTGTTTACCAGTGAGTGAAGGTCCCCTCAATTGCTCCTACGAAATATTTCATATTATTCCACTCATTTTAGTGCTTGCAAGTACTAAATAAGCTACCATGGCTCCTAAGAAAGCTCCTAGTGCCAAGCCTGTGGTAAAGAAGGTGAGAAATATGTACAGTGACAAAGTCTTGGGCCATTTTTGGGAAGTGTTTAAAGAGATGCCAGAAACAGAGCTCTCTCCACAGTTACTTTGCGAGACAGGACTTGAGTGACTCTCAAGGTGGCCCTAATGGCATTAAGAAACAGAGAAGAGAAGCAACCCCAGAGAAGCAATTGGTACCTGAGGTGTTGCTGGAAGGGGATTCCCCTTCCAAACTGTAAACAATCCAATCTCCCTCCTCCTCCATACTCCTATACACTAAGAAGAATCTCCAATAAAGGTAAGTGTTATGCTGTTAATGTTTCATTCATCATTTCCCATTGTATTGTTTATGTACTACATGTATATTTCATGTAAAAAATTTTTTTGTTTTAATACTTCTGGGTGTCAGGAACGGATTAATTGTATTTACATTATTTCTTATGGGGAAAAATTGATTCGCAAATCGTAAATTTCGTTTATAGTAGCTCCTCCAGGAACGGATTAATTACGAAAAATGAGGGACCACTGTATTTCCCTACAATATATTGGGGCACCAAACATTCGCGACTTTTCAACATTCGCGAGGCTCTTCATCCCCTAACCCTCGCAAATGTTGAGGGGGACCTGTACAATGGACCCTTGGTTATTGGCTGTAATCCATTCCAGAAGCTCGGCCTAAAACCGAAATAGCCGAAAACTAAAATAATATTTCTAATAATAATTAATGTAATTACAATTAATCCGTTCCAGACAAAAATGTTCACCAAAAATTTTTTTTTTAACAATTAACCCTTTGACTGTTTCAGGCCCCTTTCTGAAACTGTCATTCTATGTCGCTCAATTTTTGAAAAAAAAGAAATTATTTTTTCTTATGAAATGAAAGAGAATCTTTTCCCGATGGTAATGACACCAAAAGTTCGAAATTTGGTCGAAAACTCATGGAATTATGCTCCCGTGAAGTTAGCGGTCTCGGCGACATATGCGTATCAGCGATTTCGCTGACTTTGAGCCCTATTTTCAGCCAATTCCATTATTCCAGTTGACCAAAACTCATAGCTATTTCTTTAGAACTCCATTTTATCTATCAGCTGAGTACAAGAAACCTCCCATTTAGTAATTTCGACTACCCAATATGTTGGTCAGAAATTGGCAATTTGGCCAATTTCACGCAAACTAAAAAAGATGCCAGTTTCAAAATAGGGTCCAGAATAAACAAGGTAGACATTCGTGGCACTAAAATAACATATGCTCTGTTCATTAGTCACATCTCTAGGCCCCTCTTATATTATTATTGCTTTCTATTTTGATTTTTTATTCATACAAAAAAATACAAAATTTACTGTTGTGCAGACTACTGGATTATTGTAAAAATGGTATAAATAATATCAGTGCACTAGCGAAAGAATATTAGACTCCCCAGTTGACGTGTATTGGACGTGTGGTGTGATTTATTTACTCCTGAACATTGGTAAAAATCGAACATTTCCGCTACTTTGAGCTCAGTTTCAAGGTCGTTTTCATCGTCAAAGTAATGAAAATCATCTCTATTTCTGTAATATGTTTTTCATTTTATCACCTAAGACCATGAAAACGCGAATACAACAATAAATACTATACGAAAAATACACCTCAAAGTCAGCGTTTTATTCCAAAAAAAACGATCAGAGTTTTTTTTTTCTCATTACGCAATGTGTGCTGCAGGATTTTTTTTATGTGGTGCACAGTGACCACACAGACCCATTCTCTCACATGTGGGCCTACCAGCTTTCTCCCGCTTGATTTGAAGCCGCTAGAATTATTGACTATACAGTGGACCCCCGCATAGCGATATTAATCCGTGCAAGAGAGCTCATTGTTATGCGAAATTATCGTTATGCGAATGAATTTTCCCCATAAGAAATAATGGAAATCAAATTAATCCGTGCAAGACACCCAAAAGTATGAAAAAACAAATTTACCACATGAAATATACATTTTCCTACACACAAAGAGAAG